GTGACTGCCCCCGGCCGGGTGCCTGCACCGGCCCGCACGGTGGAGCAGGGTCTTCATGCTACTTGCCCCCACAGGTCTCTGGACCTTCCTGTGGTTCATCGGGTTCTGCTTCTTGACCAACCAGTGGTCCTGGACATGGACTGAGCACGTGTACATCGTGGCAGACTCTGCCCGTGCTGCCATCACCTTCAGTTTCTTCTCCATCTTCTCCTGGGTGAGTGAACCACCCTGCCCTGCTTGGGGGGAGCACGGAGGGGCCCCCTTTACTGCACAGTGCAGGACAGCCCTAACGCTGCTGCCCCTCCTCTCTGCAGGGCCTCCTGCTGACCTTCGCTTACAAGAGGTACAAAATGGGGGTGGAGGACTTTGCTCAAAGCTATGTCGACCCCACCCCAGAGGTTTCGACTCCCTACTCCAGCTACCCCAACATCAGCCATGAGAGCTACCAGCAGCCGCCCTTCACCCACACGGCAGAGGCCCCGGAGGGGTACCAGCCCCCCCCGGTGTACTGAGCCCCGGCTGGTGCCTGCGGGTGGCTGTACCAGTGCAATTCCTTCTGTGGGGTGGGAGGGAGGGGCCTGCGACTTGGAGGGGTGGGAGGGTGACAGCTGCTTTGTGTGAAGGTGACCGGGCCTTGGCATGGGGCGCAGGAGGGGCCTGGTCCTGATGCTGGAGCCAAGCTCCCTGATGAGGGGTCGAGAGCCCCGTGTGTGGTGGGTGATTCGGCACACGGTGGTGATTTGCAGCTGCTGGGTGAGCCCTGTGGCTGCGGGAGGGTGGGTGTGCGGGCAGCCCTGGCATAGCTGAGCCTCTGCCCTCGCTGTGGTGCCTTGGTGGAGTGTGTGGTTCACACTCCCCTGACCCTGCCCCGGCTCTGCCCCTGTGACTGCTGCCCTGGCCTGTCCTGGCCCCAGTGCCTTTCAGCCCTGCTGGCTGCATCCTCCCAAGTGCCGTCTCTTGCTGCCGTAACACAGCCGGGCCTGGCTCCTGCCTGTGCCAGCTTTCTGTGCCTTCCCCGCTCGGCTGCTGCTGGGTGAGCTGTTGCCAAAGCCCCCCTTGTCTTCCTCTGATGCCGCACTGTGCCTTCTCCCAGCCTGCACTAGAGCTGCCAGTGCTCCCGCGGTTTGGGATCCGTGGGAGCGGTGAGCGCTGGGATCCCTCAGGAGGGCCAGGGCTGCTCCAGCTGAGGAAGGTCCTGGAGCGCTTTCTGTCCCTTGCTTGCCTCCCCCATGAGCGCTGCCTCTGCCAACGCGAGGCTGTGCTGCCGTGCCCTGCCCACGGCTCCCACCTGCACTCCGGCTGCCCTGGGTGCCGCAGGGCCGCTGTCTCAGGTTGTGTTCGCTGCTGTGCTATGGTGAAGCTGTTCCTGGTGGCCTGGTGCGGGCTGTTGCTGCTGGGGCTGGTGTTCAAGTAGTTGTCACTGTAAGGTTTGAATAAACTTTTTCACCGAGCCACCATGTGCCTTTTGTCTCTGGAGAAGGGGCTACTGCCCTCTCCCCGAGGGCTGGGGGGTGCCAGGCGAGGCAGTGGCGGCACAGCCCCTGCCAACTGCTGCGCTGCAAACAGCACACTCACGCTGGTGGCTATTTTTAGGCAACCCTCCTCCTGCTCCTCGATCCGAGCAGAGCTCCAGTGCCAGCCCTGCGAGCAGCCCTCCTGCCCTGTGACCACTCCAGTGACCAGCCCAGGCTGCCTCACTGGCCACAACCAGGAAGCTTCTGCAGAGCACTCTGGTAGAAAACGCACACAGAGGTTCATTAAGTTATTTATTAACCTAAAAGCAGCAGCAGTGCCTTCCCTAGCTCCGAGAGAAAAGCCCAGGCCTGGCACTTGAGTACTTGTGAGTACAGTTGTGCCCACTGGTAACATGGGAGGAACAGGGGGAGTTCATGTGGCTCTTGGAGCCTTCCAGGGCACAGGCAAACAGTGACCCTGCACTCACACGTGGAGATCTGGCCTGGCCAGAATCAAGAACTACTGCTTGGAGCCTGTGGATCTCTTCCAGGGAAAAGCACTTTTGCAAGGAGTAAGGAACAAAGCCAACAACCTTCCAGAAGCTGAACCAAGCAAAGGGGGAAGAGGATCCTTCAGTCAGCTTAGAGCAGAGGAACAGTCAGCCTCGAGAATTTTGGAAGGCTCAGGAGGGAGCAAGAGACACAACTAAAGTAAAGAACCAGCCCTTCAGATCAGAGCCCCTTTGCCAAGTAGCTGGACCTTCAAAGGAACAGTTGCCGAAATCTGGGTAGATGAAACCCTGAGCCTCTAAACCCCTCACAGGTAATGCAGCACCAAAATGGCAGCACCAATCTTGAACCTGAGAAAAACTGCCCTGAATTTTGAGTAGGCTCTTCCTGGGACCAGTTCTTCCAAAGGACTCTGTCACAGCCTGCTAGACCACCGCCAGCCCTTTGAAGTTCAATGGCTCAGAAGAGCCTGCTGCCAGGCTGAGTTGGGCCTTCCTTTCCCCTCTTCTGTTTCAACAAGAATTAACAAAACAGTCATAAGAGTGTCAGCAAATGGAGAAGCCAAGGCCCTGCCCAGGGCTGGGCTGTCGCATGTGTCGGTTTAAAAGTTGTGCCACAGCTCTGTGACAAGGGACAAATTACCTCAGACTGTTAAAAAAGGAAGTGGGTTCAAAATACTGTACAGTCTCAATGACTGTACATTGTCTTGAGAAACCTGGAATTTAGCAAGAGTGCACAAGAGAGAAGAGCTGCATTCACAGGCACCAGAACCAGCACCAGTGCCAGCCTGAGCACACACAGAGCACTGGGAGAGCCGGCCAGAGCCACGGCGAGCAACCAGAGCCCTGCAGCCCAGCTCGCCAGGGCCTGTGTGTGGCAACATCACTAACTACACCAGTCTCTCTCTGTGTTCTGAGACTGGAACACACTCTCATCAGGCTCTCGCTTCAGCTCTCCCCAGCATCAGGCCAGGTGGATCCTCCTTGGCTGTGGTGCTCGGTGTGGGGGGGCAGTGGAGGTTGGGCAGGGAGGGCTGAGGCACTGAACAGTTCACTAAAAGCACGAGGAAGCAGATCCTGAGCCCATAAGCCCTGGCACTGAGCTCTCTTCCCCTCCATTTTCCCAGCAGTCAAGTGAAGATCTTCCGAATGGCAGCTGCCTTTTGCTGCCTCAACCCCAGGGGCACGTTCTCCTTGTTCTCCAGCCCAGGCTGCTGGGGCCGCTTGCGGAAGTAGCAGGCTCGGCACACAGAGTGGTACTTGTCAGCTCCTCCAATCACTTCAACCTGGCAGGAAAATTTGGAGGGTGACTCTGCAGAGTCCAGCTTCCCTGAGGGGATCCCTCTGGACCAGCAGGACTGGAAAGGTGAAGCAGTTTCTGTTCCAAGGGAACTCACCTCCTGCTCTGCTCCCAGCCTCTTGGTGTAGGAGGCCTCCCGGAAGCACTCCATGCACACGGCATTCAGCTTCACCACGCTCTCCGCCAGCGGCACGAGGTTCAGGATGCTCCCAAAGGCCTGTGCAAAACAGTGTAGGAGGTGCTGCTGGGTGGGTTCTGTGAGGGTCCCAAAGAAACTGCTGTACCAAAATGAGTGTTATACCTTTCTCTGGAAAGTCCCATCCAGAGCAGCAACGATGACTGTTTTCCCGGCGTTGGCCATTGTCTCGCAGAACTCCACAATATCTGGGAACTGGAGGGGGCACAGGCACAGCATCAGGAGGGAGCAGGGGCAGCTCTTGGCTCTGGATCCTGCAGTGCATACCCAGACAGCAGCACCGGGAACAAGGAAAGTCAGAGCCACATGCCCTGTCTTTAGAATGGACTCCAGTCCCATGCCATCGGGGACTACAGGGAGGGAGGGTTTGACTACAGACACAGTCCAGCTGGATCAAACTGCCCCAGGGCATTTCTTTCCATCTCTTCCTACAGAGGACTCAGGCCTTAGTCTGCACAGGGCATCCTGGGGAGCCTGTGATCCCCAGAGCGCCCCGAACCCCCTCCAGCTGTGCACTTACGAACTGGCCCTCGTCGATGCCGATGACGGCGGCGCCCAGCGCCTCCTGGTACACATCCTGGAGGAGCCCGGCGGGCACAGCTTCCATGGTGCTCCTGCGGGCAGGGAGGGGGTGAGCCGGGCAGACCAGGCACCCCCGCGGAGGGGGGGTGGTCCTCCTGCCCCAGGAACTGACTTATCGTGTGTGGAGACCCCGGAGGAGCTGTAGCGCGTGTCCTTGGCGTACTTCACCAGCAGGCACCGGTACTGGGCAAGCTGGAACCGCCGCGCTATGGTGAAGCTGTTCCTGGTGGCCTGGTGCGGGCTGTTGCTGCTGGGGCTGGTGTTCAAGTAGTTGTCACTGTAAGGTTTGAATAAACTTTTTCACCGAGCCACCATGTGCCTTTTGTCTCTGGAGAAGGGGCTACTGCCCTCTCCCC